AGATGGCGCCTAAGCGTGCTTGCGGAGAAAGACACGCACGGCCCTAGCAAAAAAAAAAAAAACTAAACCCTAGACACTCCAAAACTCCCCAACTAAAACCCCTAAAGCCAAGCGTCCTGCAGTAAGCCGATCATCTCGCTGAAGCGAAACGGCCGCGGGTTCCAGAGTTCGAGCCAGGCATCCTCCGAATTTAGGGTTTAGGGTTTAGGGTTTAGGGCTTAGGATTTAGGGTTTAGGGTTTGGGTTGGAAGGGATTGCAGGGACTAGGGCTCAAGGTTTAGGGATCCGGCATTAGGGGCTAGGGCTAAGGGTTCAGAATTTGGGGTTTGGTGTTCAGGGTTTACGGTTTGAAGTTCGGGGTTTGAACCACAAGCACACTTATTTTAGAGGAAGAGGACAAGACAACGGAAGCTGCTATGCTATCTATATTTTTGGCGTGTAGGGTTCAGGGAGAGGTCAGCCCTAAACCCTAAACCCTAAACCCTAGACCTTAAGCTCTAAACCCTAAACCTTAAACTCTGAACCCTAAGCCCTAAACCCTAAGCCCAAACCCCTAAATCCTAAGCCCTAAACCCCCCAAACCCCCAAATTTGTTCATGCCCTGCCCTCATTCCCTTCTCAAAGGGAAGTCCTCCGAATGCGCCTGAGGCTGACCTCCTCGGTGCAGCTGCGAAACAATGTTGACAAAGCACTCGGCCACATAGCTCACCTGGGGTTTAGGGCTTAGGATTTAGGATTTAGGGTTTAGGATTTAGGATTTAGGGTTTAGGATTTAGGATTTAGGGGTTTTAGGGTTTAGGGCTTAGGATTTAGGGGTTTTGGGGTTTTGGGTTGGCTTGTACAAGCTGTATAGGGTTCAGGTACCATTACTTAGGGTCTAGGGTGTATACAAATTGTGTAGGGCTCAGGTCGGGACTGTTGCGCGACTTTTGACGGAGTTTCCGTTTTGACTTTTGCCCTGTACGATTTGTATTTATCTGGGCTTGAGGGTTCAGGATTTGGGGTCAAGCACCACACAAGCAACCCTAAACCCTTAACCCTGGCTCTGACATTTTCCCTCAGAGAGACATTTCTCTTGAGTTTGCTCTTTACAAGTCTCTCCACAGGCTCTCGTAAGCTTTTCTAATCTTTCCCCATGCACCAGCTTCCGGAATAGTTGCCAGACTCAAATCCAGTCCGCAGAACGTCTTGCATAAGCCCTAAACCCTGATTTTCATGAACTCATGCCTGAGTCATGTCCATGTTGTAGTTCACACCTTCCGGGAACTCGTTTCGTATGCAGCACACCTGAGTGGCGCTTCTTTGGTGGTTGCGTGGTTGCGCCAGATAAGATTTTATGCCTTTCATAAAATACCATACCCAACAAAGGATATGCTCTCAGTCCTTTTTAGGACTATAGCATCCCATTTGCAATACTACTTAACTTACGTAATTCAGGTTTGCATTTCATGTCCCATTTGATTCTCCACTAGCCCCTAGACCCTACACCCTTACCCTATACGACATGAAACCTCAAATCCCCACGTGCTACTTCCCCATGTACCTGTACAGATCTCTGCATAAAATTGTACATCCATTTATCTCCCTCCCTGTATATCCCCATAGATATCCCTCCCAGTATCCCTAATATCCTCGTATATCCCCAGAATCCCACTAAACCCTAAACCCTGAACCCTAAACCCTGAACCCGAAACCCTAAACCCTGAACCCGAAACCCTAAACCCTAACCCCTAAACGCTCCATATCCCTAGAATCTTTAACATCCTTCATCCCCGGTATCCCACTAAACCCTGAACTCACCTTGAGGATGGTCTCAAGGCAGTCGGTGATGTCCGGGACACCATTCCTTTGGGTTTAGGGTTCAGGGGTTTAGAGTTTAGGGTTTAGAGTTTGGGGTAAAGGGTTTAAGGTTTAGAGTTTAGGGTTTAGAGTCAAGGGTTAGGGTCTCACCAGGGATATGTGCTTGGTTGTTCAAATTATGGTCCTTTTTTGGGTCCCTACTATAATATGGCCCCAAATATTTGGGCGTACCAAAAAACACAATATTAACAACCTACCATTTAGGGATGTAAAGGGATGTTCAGGAATATTTTCAGGTTTGAGGTTGGCCCCCGAGTTCTTTGTAAGTAGGGTTCATTAAATAACCACATAGGAAACTTACAATCATCCCATAGTGCCACTTGGATTCGGGTCTATGACATAACCGATATTGATCAGACTGATTGGTGGAACGCAGTTAAAACGGCCTTGAGAGCCTAGCCGATGAACCTCCTCAGCCATCTTGTGCGCAACGCCCTTACTCTGTGTGTAGCCATTCCACAAGCCTCCATTCTTCTCTCTCTTGGTGCCATAAAGTCGGGCAGAGCATGATGAGGTATACATAAGCGATTTGACCCGGCAGCTTGCGCAAAACTCAACAATGTTGAAGAAACCTCGGCAGGGTTTAGGGTTTAGCAGTTTGTTAAAGCTTCTTTTCGGGGTTTAAGGTTTATGGGCTCAGGGTTTCGGAGTTTGGGGTTTAGGTGTCTAACATTTAGGGGCTTGGGGTTTAGCAGTTTGGAATTTGGAGGTTGATATCAGGGGCTGAAGGGTTGAGGACTGTGGGGTTTAATGGTTTAACTTTCAGGGGTTTAATGTTTAGGGGACTAGGGTTAAGAGTTTGGGGTTTACACCGCAAAGCAGCTGCATGGGGCTTTGAAGAAATGTCAGGTTGCTTTGGGTGGGTCCTAGTACGAGGGATCAGCTTGCAAGGATAGAGCAGGGATATATGTGTATATGTGTATAGATATATACATATAGAGAGAGAGAGAGAAGAGAGAGTCTGCTTTGGGTCCAAGTACTTTCGAAAACATAGAACTCTGCTAAAGACTGGTGAAGGAGCCATTGATGTGGATGTCTTCAAGAATCGCATAGGGCATGAAGAAGTTGTCTTTGGCAGCCAGATGCACAACAGTTTCCACGGTGCCCACGAGCCTTCACAGTTAATCACTACCATGTCCACAGCTGATGTGTACATCGTGCCTGGCATGTACGTGTTCAAAACATGAATCCAGTAGTGCTGCCACTCTTCTTGGCATTTAGGGATTAGAGTGGTAGCTATTTTCTACTACTTGTTTATACGGAACCAACACTATTTGGAATACTATTTGGAATACTGCAAATACAACTTTGAACCGTGGTGTTACAATTGGCGCTGCACCATGCACATTCAACTATCGTTCAGCAAATTTTTCTGCCACGCGCAGAAATCTCTAATAGTTAAAGCCACTAAGGATAGTAGTGGTAGCCTTCTTGTTCTAGTCGCTATCCTCATTGGATTACACGCAGGAGTGGTTGCTACAGTGAAACTTTACCATAGGACCCCCCCACCGTGCAATAGTAATATAATAAGAATATAAGAGGACCCGAATATTATCCTTAGTGTCACTATTACAGGGTGGGGGGGTCCACCTACACCATACTGTTCTTGACAGCCTAAGCATTCCTAAAAGCCCAAAATCCGAAACCGTGAGGCCACAATCAAAGATCCTACCCCGCGCCTTTCAAAGTCCGTGGGAGACAAGCCCAAGCAGGGCTGCTTGACGTCTCCTGCAGCTTGAGGTTTAGGGTTTAGGGTTCCGGATTTAGGGTTTGGGATAAGCGCTTAAACTCTTTCTCGACTGCAGCGAGAAGATTGCGGTGGTTCCTCCTTTGCCTTGTGAATTCATTGAAAACTGCCCCTTTGGTTTCAAGCAGAAACATTTTGAAAGAATAGAAGTCTAAAATCAAAAAAGCATAACAAGCTCGCAAGACTAAACAGCATCAACGAAGGTGTCAAACAACGCCAACGACATTGTAGAGACACACCTCACAACAACAACAACAACAACATGCAACAAGCCTTTCTCGACTTCTACGGATCTTGTTTTGGGACTGGTTGGAATTCCCATGCAAAAGGCTGAGCAGAAGTCGCCAAAAAAAAATGCCACACAAAATTCAAAGAAACCCTAGACCCTATAATCCCCATATAAACCCCTACATAACCCCTATAATCCGGTCTGGGATATTGGGATCTATCTCAGACCGCAAAACTCTAAACCTCTTGATTCCTAGTCTCTCAGCGGCATGCGTTTTTGCGGGGCTCTGTGGATGAAATCTGGTTTAGGGTTTAGGGGTTTAGGTTGAGGATTTAGGGGTGTAGGGTTTGGGGGGTGTAGGGGTTTAGGGTTTAGGGGTGTAGGGGTTTAGGGTTTAGGGGTGTTAGGGTTTGTGGCCTGAAGGGCTGTGTGGTATGTGTACTGTTCCCCATGGACAGGAGTCATGCTTTGGGTATCACTGCTACAAGCCCTAGCTCGAAGGACCTCAATTTTAGCTAGCTGCCTGCCCATAACTCCAAAACGATCCGACTATGATGCTACGCCTATACCAAGATCAGATCTTCAGAAGATCCTCTCCATCGTAGACCGGAAACAAAACCTTTAACCCTAAGCCCTCAACAAACCTACCCACCCTAGATCCCTTGATTCCAAAATCGGCAAGGGGGGAGCCTGGACTGCCCCAACTGTAGGATTTAGGGTTTAGGGCTCAGGGTTCAGGGTTTAGGGTTTAGGATGTAGGGTTCAGGGCTTAGGGTTCAGGATTTAAGGGACCATCAACCCGACGACCACAAATGTCTTAAAGTCTAGACTTTCCTACTCAAAAGAGCCAAGCAAGTATTAGCCAAGTACGACTTGTACTTACACCCCAATTAGGATCGTATAAAGCGACTCAGGCGGCTTATAACCGGGTTATACGTACAAATTTAATTGGTTTATGATTACCTTCCGACATCCTGCAAGCAAACGCTACCTCGAACTCTACACCCCAACCCTAAACCCTAAACCTTAACGCCTAAACCCTAACCAAAGCCTATCTAGTTGTGCCAAAGCCTATGCCCCTGAATAAGCCCGAGTCTACCACCCCTATGTTCCTACGCGCTTTTGGGTTTAGGTTTTCGCATTTTTTAACATGTTTAACAGGTTTTAGGCTTTAGGGTAAAGGGTTTAGGGCCTGGTAGCCCTCAAAAAGGAACAAACTCAACGACAAACTCCGGATTCCTAAGCACCACCACACCAAACCCTGGATTTCCTAGGGCTTAGGGTTTAGGATCTAGGGTTTGCGGTTTAGGATTTAGGGTTTAGGGTTTAGGAAGTCTTTACTCCTAGACCCAAAATCAAACGTTGAAGCCTACATTTTTGAACATATCATCCTTTTCTAACCCTTATACCATTCTTCTAAAAACCCCTCCCCGGAAACCACGCGGTATGATTTGCCAACCCTGAACCCCTGAACCCCAAATCCAAATCCTGGTCCCCAAACCTTAAACCCTGAAGCCTAAACCCTAAACTCTAAACCCGAAACTCTACACTCTAAACCCTAAACTCTAAGCCCTAAACTCTAAACCCTAAACTCTAAACCCTAAACTCTAAACCCTAAACCCTAAACCCTGAACCCTTAAACCCTGAAGCCCCAAACTCTCGACTTCAGCTCCTGGAACCGCATGCGCCTGACCCACCTCAAGGTTATACTGAGCTGCCTTTCACACACTTTAGGAGTTAGGGTTTACGGTTTAGGGTTTAGGAGTTTGGGGGTTGAGGGGCTTGAGGGTTTAGGGTTTAGGAGTTTGGGGGTTGAGGGGCTTGAGGGTTTAGGGCTTAGGGTTTCGGAGTTTGGGGGTTGAGGGGCTTGAGGGTTTAGGGCTTAGGGTTTCGGAGTTTGGGGTTTGAGGGGCTTGAGCGTTGGAGGGTTTAGGGGTTCAGGGTTTTAGGGGTTCAGGGGCTTACAGGTTTAAGAGGTTCAGGGGTGTAGGGGTTCAGTCGCATAGGGTTTAGGTGTTTGGGGGTTCGGGGGATTTCGCGTTTAGGGGTTCAGGGCTCAGGGGTCAGGATTCTGGATTAGGATGGGGGGGTTTTCAAACTTGGCTCCCTGAAGCCCGAGGCAGTGGAAATGTAGCGAGCTGCATGAATCATGGTTGAGGGGCTTAGGGCTAAGGAAATGTGAGAGTTAGAAAGATCCCTCTAAAGGATTGTAACGCAAGAGCCTAGATACATAGATTTTCGCAAAAGGTGTTGCTAAAGGGGATTGCTTGTTACCGGGGTTTCTACATCACGGAACCTGTATTCACCCTCGGCAAAATCGCAGTTTCCATGTGAACTACAATCAACATTTCACAGATGTTTAAGGATTAGGGCTTCAGGCTTGGTATAGGGGTTCAGGACAACAGGGTGGGGCACAATGGCAACAAACAACTATGCTTCTGGCAGGTTCAAGAAGATCCGGGATTCTCATATTTTGGGATACAGAAGCAATGAAGGGTCTAGGGTTTAGGTCAAATTTTGGAAATGCTCATGTGACAATTCGCATTAAAAAAATCCCAACCACGAAGACCACCTCATGACAGCGCGCTGGGGTTGCTGGCACCGGGACCAATGAGCCGAGACATTGGCAATGCCCCAAAGCCTTCACCCTGAATCCTGCGCCTTCATTCCCTTACCCCGAAATCCCTAAACCCTAACTCTGAAAGAGTACGCCCTTAACCTTAAGTAGTAGTTTCCATTTTCTTTTCCATTATCCCAATATAACCCCAATATATTATTGTAGTTTCCATTTTATTTTCCATTATACCCAAATATATTATAGTAGTGCGTTGTCGGCCTTCTTCAACAGGCGCTGTTGGCACTGCTCCGGCGTCTTGCCACCTCTGACTTGGCATTTGAAGAATTTACTAGGGTCGAGGCTTCAGGCAACCCCCTTAACAATAAACCCCCACCCCCCACACCTTGTGCTGAACATGTCCTGCAGCATATTTGGGCCGCTAAAGGCATGTTTAACACTGGGGGTCAGGGGGCCATCCTTAATGAATTCAGACGAAGCGGGTTGCCTTCAGATTGTATGGGCCTTAGTTCCAATGGCTGTAGGGGCTTCCATTGAGCTGTATGTGGTTTGGAGCTGTTCTTGTGGCTGTACAGGGACGGACTAAACCGCCTTGTAAGACTGGTATATGGCTTAGAGTCGTTCATGTAGGGTGTGGAATCTTGAACAACCCCAAGCCCTAAACTAACCTAAAACCTGCACCCTAAACCGCATTTTCCGCTTCGATGGGGCTGATGGCGGTTCAAATAGCTCCTACTCAAAGTTGCTTCAGGGCCCAGGGTTTCCAAGAGCCACCCCGATCGAGGCCCCATAGGGAATTCTAACGTCTGATAGCCCCTGAACCCCTTAGCCCATACAGGTATAACCCCAATATATACCCTGTAATCCCTATGTAACCCTTTATAACCTCTATAACCCTATAGTTTCCATTAACGCATGGAGCTCTATTCCTTGAAACTTCCCGGTTTAGGGATTAGAGTTTAGGTTTAGCCTGGCGTCTCCAATGGCACGTTCCCTGACAACCCTTAGCCCTAAAAAACACTATACACCTACGTAAACCCTAAAATCCCTACACCCTTAAACCCTTAAACCCTTAAACCCTAAACCCCTCAACCCAAATCTTCTAAACCCTGAACCCTAAGCCCCCAAACTTCTAAACTTCTAAACCCTAAACCCCAAAACCTCTAAACCCTAAACTCTCAGATTGCTCCATGCCCAGCCCAAAGCATCTCACACACTCCACAGGGATCAAATCATCCCAACTACAACTTTTCCAAGTAGGTTTAGGGTTTCGTTGCGTTTAGTGTTTAGGATTTAGGGTTTAGGGTTCAGGATGTAGGGTTTAGAGTTTAGGATGTAGGGTTTAGGGTTTAGAATGTAGGGTTTAGGGCTTAGGGTTTAGGACTGAGGGCTTAGGGTTTAGGGCTTACGAGTTACGGCTGAACGTTTGGGGTTTAGGGTAGATCAGCAGATGATGGCATGCCTGCTGAAGCTTCCACTGGAATGCAAGTCATTGAGGGCAAAGATGGTCTTTCTCAGAAAAACAGGGGCTTATAGGGATTAGGTAAACCCTAAGCCCTAGA